ACATAATTTTCTGATATGATTAAACCTGAAAAAAAAGTCCAATTACATGAAAAATCTTTGTTTTTCTCAATCAGCGTCTTTAATTTTTGCTTCCCTCTGTGCTCTACTCATTAGTTTGACGTCGATGAGACTTAATTTAGCTCCTTTTAAAATCATTTTCAGCTTTATTGTTGCTTATTTAATCATGAAAATTTGAAGATATGAAGCTTTACAACTGTTCCCTCTTTGTCCACTGAATAAAAAGAAAAAAAAACAGGATATAAAAATGTGAAACTATTTCTCAGATCTAAAGTTTAACTACTGTAAGCACAAAATATTCCTAATTTTCTCTTCTCATTGTACGCATCAGAGGCTTCGAATTCCTCTTCGGGTTTTGTAATTTGCTGTCATAAACTCAGATTAAAACTTTCAACCTTTGCTTCTTTAAGAAATTAATTGGAAAGCAGTCTTGGTAAACGTGCACACGTACACCGTCCTGCACAATGAAGGCCAAAGCGATCTAACAAATACCAAAAATGTGAACCATTTCAGAAAACTGTGTCCTTGTAGTGCGTAGAATGTGGTTCATACTTTACTCATTGCACTTGAAGAATTTTTCACAAAAAAAAAAGGAACCATCCCCATTTTTTTTTTCCAAACAACAAAACCGCAAACTTCAAAAAAAGAAATAATTACTCAATCTTAGCTGCTGGTCCTCCCACCTCCACCCTTCCAGTTCCCCCTAGAGGGAAGCAAGTGCGTCAGTGAGGGGTTGGAAAAGAAGAGAAGTAAAGCCTTTTGACTTTCAGGAAGGAAACACATCTGGGGAATAAGGAAAGAGAGAACGGGTGAAAAGAGGAATTAGCATGGAGGAAGAGGAGCTGGCCAAAAATAGTCAGCCTCCGCTCGAGCCTTGCCTTGCCAGAGCCCCTACCACACCTCCTGCCACTCAGGCATTAGTCAGCCCCGACCTATCCCTCTGTGTGTCTGTGTGTGACTAACTTCGCCGCTGAACCCCCCCAAAGTCACGGACCTCACTTCCTCCCAGGTGTCTCAATCTGGTCAAGGGTTGCTCAACTTGAGACCCCCAGTAAACATAGGCTGCTCTTACACAGTGAGGAGTGTGTGGGTCTGGATGTACAGATGACTGTGGGCTGTAAACATGTACAAACAATAAAAAAACTAAATGACAGAATGCAAGTTTAACCAGGACCCGCTGAAAGATAACAGGAGCCGGCGGCAGGAATGAGGGGAAAAGTTAATAGCAGCTATGTAGAAGGGAACGAGTAAACATGTGCATTCCTCTGGCGAGAAAACCATCTAGAAAAACAGGAACTCTGGCCGAGCAAATATGGTAATGCCAGATGTAAGGTGGTGTTGTGACCAGACTGGTTTCTGGATGGGAAGGACCGGAAGTGTGACTGGATATTTCATGTGCAGGTGCTCCAGAGGCAGAGTGGACTTGGTACGCGGAGCAAACAGGAAGCGGTGGGCAGCCGTGCGACGCGATTGGTCACCGCAGTTTGATTTGTGACGGTGACAAAGAGCGGAGGAAGGAAGTGAAAGGGGAGATATGCAGATTACCGAGGAAAAGGGTGTACGTGTGTGGCCGCATGCTAGGAGAGAGAGAGAGGCTTCTGACAGACGGCTGCTAAAGTTTATTCTAAGCCGTAAATCACAAACTGATGTGAAACGGTCAGCACATTCACACCATGAAGACCTTTTGGTGATGTTTGGTTGCCCCTAATCAGAAAGTCTAACTGTGGACTACGTCAGTGGTGGAAGTACATCTACTTCATAAGTACAAGTTTGATGTATTTGTACTTCTTCACTATGTTTTGGAGGCAAATATTGCAGTTTGTACTACATTTACAGGCTTGCGTTACCAGTTATTTTGCAGACTCTGATTATTAATACGACTATAAATCAAATAAATGATGGTATTTTATTGCAGATTAAGGTACCCAGCAGTGTATGAAGTAATTAAAAATGGCACCCGCCCAAACATTAAAGTGATGCACACACGATTACTGAATCAATAATTATATCTATAAAATGTCATATGATTCTGAAATGAGTCATTCCCTCTAACGAGGACTTTTACTTGTGTTACGTAAAGTGTATTCTGATGCCAATACTTTTGTACTTCTAGTATTTTTTTACACTGTAGTACTTTTCTTGAGTAGAGGCTCCGAATACTTCTCCCGCTGCTTTAATCCATACATTCAGAAAAGTTATTAAATTATTTTAAAATCAACTAAACTGAAGGATTTGTTTGATTTTTTTCCTGCTATATTTTAAAATCCTGCCTCATCAGACACATTTGGTCCCTGTAACAGCAGCCATACAGCAGTGGACTGTTAGCTCTGGTGCAGCCAGTTGTGCGTCAAGATGTTTTCTATAGCTATTTGTCAACTAGAGCCATCCAGTGGTGCTTTAAGGAAATTTGA